TGTGCTGTGTCTCTGTGTGCTTTAGCTCTCTGCCTGTAAACTGGCTATCATAGCATTTCCCTTCCCAGAGGCTTACTGGGAGAACAGCTTCATTAAAAAGCACCAGCAGCTCTCAAATATTGCAATAAATGAACAAAGAGCAGCAGCATAAAGCTGGTGTCATCTCTGGGTGTAGCAAAGCAAACACACAGGTGTTTTAGGTGTGATCTTGTGGTTGGTTTTCTTTTTCCCTCACAGAAATGTGAAGCTTTTCAACAAAAATAAATACGTGAACATGGAAAAGAAGTTCTCAAACCAAAATAGAAAAAAAATTCAGACTAGTTTGGCAAGCCTAAACAAACACTGTAACATCTGTTTCCTGAGTTATTGATGGAGTCTGTCCTCAGGCTCATGTCTGCCTTCAACATCTTCCAAAACTTTCTATCTTCTGTGTGGTTTCAGAAGTCAGAAAATAACTGGCTAGCTGTCTTTCTGGAAAAATAAAAGTATTTCTCTTAACTTGAAACTTGTATGTGGCTTAACTGTAAAGCAGACAGCGAGAAAGTGTTTGATAATGTTCAAGCTCTGCCAACCAAGTGGTAAAATTACTGGTCTTATTTATCAGCACTGTAATAACCTTCCCATAGCTCCATTCTCTACAGCACAAGGAAGATTTCAAACTACTCTTATTTTAAATGGCAGAGACTAAACCAGAGCATTTAACAGTGGAGAAATAAGTGTCCAATGCTTTCAGTATTGCCTATGAATAAACAGGCAAAAGACTTACTGCTCAGGGTCTGCTGTGAACACATCAACTAATTATGCTTCTCACTGAGATATTTTATTTACACTCATCTTTATAGTATCTGCTAATCACTTTCTAAAGTGTATCTATCTCTGCCTGACAAGAGCCTGAGTTCTTACCCACAATATTCTGCCCCAATCAGGTGAGACCCACCTGCAGAGCTGCCCCAGCCTGGCCAGCACAGGAGGGACCTGGAGCTGCTGAGAGAGCCCAGAGGAGGCACAGCAGGAGCAGAGGATGGAGCAGCTCTGCTGGGAGGAAAGGCTGGCACAGCTGGCATCGCTCACCTGCACAGGAGGAGCTTTGGCTGAGCTCAGGGTGGCCTTGCAGGGCCTGAAGAGAGCCCAGAGAAGGATGGAGAGAGACAATTTCCATGGGCCTGGAGTGACAGGACAAGAGGCAATGGCTTCCTACTGACAGAGAATAAGGTTTGATAGGATCTTAGGAAGCAATTGTTGCCTGGCAGGGTGGGCAGGCCCTGGCCCAGGTGCCCAGAGCAGCTGTGGCTGCCCCTGGATCCCTGGCAGTGCCCAAGGCCAGGTTGGACACTGGGGCTGGAGCAGCCTGGGGCAGTGGGAGGTGTCCCTGCCATGGAATGAAATGATCTTTAAGATCCCTTCCAACTCAAGTCATTTTGTGATTCTATATTTTTAATGATCTGGGTGTTCTGCCGGCCCATTGCTGGATCCAGATATGGATCACAAAAAGCAAAAAGGAGAAATGTGACCTCATCTTTCCTTCTTTCCAGAATCTGAGGGAGGTGAATAGAAGTGAATGAAGCTTGGAGTGGTGTAGATTCTTGGTCTTCCAGTCTTTCTTTAGGAGACCAGATAAATCAGTCCTAAATTCAATACAGTCCAAAATTTAGATGCTCAAGATTCTTAGCTAAGCTCTAAGTCTGCGTTATCTGGCATCCAGTGTGTCAGATTTTCTAGCAGTGACGTTCTCTAGGGACTGTTGGGTTTCTAAAATATTTAGTAAGCAGAGTTTTCAGCAAACACAGTTAAGAATCTGGAAACACTTCCAAAAGGCTAATTTTGATCAGTACTGAAGTTCTGGAAAAGGTGAGAAAAACTGTTTTTTTACCCCACAGTAAAAGATGGAATTCCAAGATGTGATCTCGCATTTCCTTGTGTCTCCCAATGGCTCCCTGTGCTGGATGCACAGCCCAATCTGATTATATTGAATATTACTTATGTTATCTGTCAGCTGCTTCAGGCTTCTCAGTGCACTGAGCCTGGTGACAGGATTAAAATATTTTCCTATAATGGCAAAAGAGAGAATTGCAGTCATTTGGAAGCTGCAGACTGTTCCTTCAGCAAAAGATTGGATGCTCAATTTAATTGGTTGTGCTTCACTAGAAAAAACATAGTGCACTCATTAAAACATCAAAACTCTAACTTCCAAGATATCTGTTCCTTTTTTGAATTATAACATGAGTAGAATATGAGATCTGAAAATATTTCATAATGATTATACTTTTGTAACCACCATTTATAATTTGCAGACAATCTGTGGGGGACAGGGAAGCTCTGGATATTATTGATTTACACTGTTGAGATCAATGTTATAAGCATATTTGCATTTATAAAATAGATGGAATAGCTATATTCTTCTCCCTGAAGTCCTAAATCTATGTGAAGCTTGTCTTCTTTGCTTCCTTTTTTTTTTCCCTCTTTATTACAAAAATAGAAAAAAATCAAAATAAAATGCTAAGAAATGCACAAAGCCTCATCTTCCACTGCTCCAGTGGTTCTGTGGGCAAGGAACACCACACAGGTATTTCATTTCAGCAGTGTAGTCACATCCTCTGTAGGACAATATCCCAGAGTGTTATATGACAAGCCATAAAATATTACAAAGAATGACTGCAGTGGGGGCGGGAAGATTATTTAGAGAAGCAAAGGCTTCATTTTGTTTTCCAGAGCATTCTGTCATGCAGCAAATTAAATATCAGAGGCGTGAGTTTCCTCTGGCAGTGCCCTCACACCCTGCAGAAGGGGACAAGTGCTTTTCTAGCAGGGACACCAGCCAGGGAGCCATTGCTGTAACGAGCATACAGAGCTTTCCCCTATTCATTTCCCATTTTTAATACAACCCATTTTGAATATTATGGTATCTCTGTTTGCTCTCCCCTCTTAGATTCCATGATCAGCACCTAGGAGTGCTCAGCTTTAACAAATTGCTTGGCTGTGTCTTCCCAGGGCCCTGCTGAGGAGCTGGGAGGGCACAGAGGTTTGCACCTAAGCTGCCTTTGGATAATCATTTTTTTGGAACCCCGAATCTCCTCCCCATGTCAGATTTTTTGGATCCCAATTACTTTGCCTTCTAATAGGTTTTGGAACCTTGGCTGGAAGTCTGTTGTGTAATTACAGGTTTGGTGCAGCTCTAGGAGTGGTTGTGACTTACTGTTCTCTCTGCTTTTTGTCGCTCATCTGATCTAGTTCCTCACACCTGAGGGATTCTAAAGGCTATTTGCAATGTTCAGAGAATAAAGAATAAGAAATAAGTGAGATGCTTTATCTGACCAGATTTTTTGTTTTACTCCATCACCTTCTCCACTTCCCATTTTCCATGCTTTATAGCATTCAGCTGGATACAAAGTGCATCTGACCATGTATTATTAATCACATTACAAACTAATTTTGCAAAGGAGACTGGCAATAATCACAAATACATGCACACACATGCACCATGTCTTTACATCTCCTCTCTCTCAATGTGCAGCAATTTAGGGAAATTGTAGAATCATTCTCTCTTCTTTGTAATAAATTTCCATTGAAGAGTCCAAAATTAATGAGATTCTTTTGTTGCTTTTTATTGTAAGAAGTTAATTTAGAACTTAGCAATGAGTAGAAGATGCTTAAGTAATTCTTTCCAACCCTGTGTCATTTCACTTTGTGTTGTGTGATGTGCCTTCATTCAGCTTTGAGTAATCACACGGCCAGAAATTGTTCTGTCATCTTGAACATCCTATGAAATTGTGTCATCTTGCAAATTTTAAGTCCTGGCTGTTCATAGTATTCATCATTTCTCCTGAGTTCTATTATGAGAGTTGGAGAACTCTAATTACTAAACTTGAAATTTAAATACTGCCAGGAACTTGCAAAGATCCTCCACACAGGAGTGAATTTCACCAGGCTCTCTCCTAGAATATTGATGTTGGGGTCCTTATAATTATTTTCTCAAGTAGTTTCATCTGTGCAGCTCTCTGAGAGTCTTACCTGACCCAGTGCCATTTTAGATGGAAATATGGGACAGCTCTGCTCACTCTAAAGCTGTGTCAATCTTCAGGTACTGTTATTTCTTGATCCTCTTTTATATGAAACTGATTCCCTTTGATATCTCTCTGGCATTTTTAATACAATTTTATTTTATTTTAGTGTTATCCCCTGGCAAAATAATTTATTTTGTGTTCTGTATGTCTTTTCCCTGCTACAGTACTCCTCCAAACCCTTGTAAACATCTTTTATTTTCTTATACATATTCTAAACCCCATTTCAAATACAATTCTAGCCCATTCCCTTTTCTTTCATCATTGTTACAGTCTTTTAACTTCATTTACTCTTATGTACCCCTGTGTTTGTGAGTGTTTTAGCTCAAGCTTTGATTGCTTTTTACATTTAGAGATTTCATTACAGTGCTTGCTGCTGGATGTCCTGCTATGTACTACCCTCTAGGACATAGCATTAATGTTCAGAAACAATTTTTCTTCTGCATCTTCTTCCTTCATTTCTTCTTCATCCAATTTCCTTTTATCCAACACTTATATGACTTTTCTAAATATCCAGTTCAATATCCTCACTTAGAAATCTTCCACTTTTAAGATAAAAAATGAAAATAATGGGGCCATTTTTAACCAGTAGGTTCATCACGTCTGGCTTTCTGCCAAATTTCATTGATTCTCTTTTAATTTTTCTTCTTTATTACATTGTGTACAAATTGCACTTCTACTGCCATGCCATATTTTAATAATTCCTTCCTCTTCAGAATTTATATCAAAGTGACTGAAAAGTGTGGTCATTAACTTTCGTGTTTGGTCCTATGTCTTTTTCAAATCATTTGTTCTTCCTGCCAATTTTTTCCTTCATTACTTTTAATTCTGTATATTTGTATATAATAATATCTATATATTTTTTATCTCCACAATACACAAAATGCTAAACATTTCCTGCCGTACCTTTCCAAAAGAAACCTTCTCCCTTGCATCTCACAGGTTTGGAATTTACCATTTGATTTGTACAACACTGTTACCTGCAGAGCACAGCACTGAGCTCTTCATTCCAGGTGTGAACTCAACACTATATCAAGTGCATTTTTGGCTGGATCACTGTAAGTAATAAGATTTTTTAGGGTCAGCAAAAGAAAAAAAACTGGCCCAGTGTCTTCAAAACTCCTTGATACAAGTGTGAGAGTCACTCAGCTAATGCATGTGCACTCAGTGCATGGTTAAATGTCCAGCCACGCAGGGTTGAAATTGGGAATGTTGACTCTCTGCTTGTGTTTTGATAACTTAAAGCCTTCAAGGGGTGATGTCGAGACTGAAGTGTATTTCTTACGTGTTCTATAACAAAAGTTTTGTCAGCTTGCAGTACTGAGTCTTGCCTTAAGGTCATTCATCAAGATGGACTAAAAACTGAGGAATTATTCTCTTGGGAACCTCTTTAAACAATGGTGAATTTGTAGGTGTGCAACAGAGCTTTGATGGCAGATCAGAGGTGTGGAAGTGAAGGCGTCCAAGGCCAGGTTGGATGGGGCTTGGAGCACACTGGGCCAAGGGGAGGTGACCCTGCTGTGGCAGGGGAGGGAATGGGATGAGATTTAAGGTCCCTGCCAACCCACATGAGGGTTTCTGATTCAATCATCCAACAAAAACTTCTGGGCATTTATTTATTTATTTCTGGCATTTGGTTAGGGGCTGCCTGACATCTCCCCTGCCAAACTGTTGCTCTTATTTTAGAATGGTTTTGCCACCATTTTAAAGAGCAAGTAGGCCAAGGGGATAAGATCCATTTGCAGAGTTTTAAGAGATTAAACAATGTATGGACCTGCATGTTCTGCAAACTGACCCCCAGGGAACTGGAGATTTACTTAACCCCTTGCCTGATGTGAAGCTTTCCAAACACAGCAGGATATTGTAGGAAAGACACTTATATTTCATCATTATAAAGTCTGTCCAGGAGATTACAAACTCTAAAACAAAGCCTCTTCATTATAAAAAAAAAATTCTCTGTGGGAAATTAATAGAGAATAAAGAACACTTCTTGAGGAAGAAAAATAAAGGCAAATTTGAATTTGTCTCTCATCCTAATTAACAGTAGGTAGTGATACAATCTAGGAAAAAAATTATCTTTCAAAATAAAATACTCTTGAAAAATATAATGATGTTAATAGGCTGGCAATAAATGAAAATACTGGACATCTACATGCATCTTGTGTTTAGGTGACATGATGCCCCATTAAGACCATTAGCAGACCATGCATTCATTTCAAATGCTCAAGGTCAAAAAATATTTCAGCATTATAATATTCCAGTTGATTTAGGACATAAAAATTTACCTTTTATACATTAACTACTCTCAATTTCATTGACAAATTGATGTAACTCTTCAGTGAAATTCAAGTTACAGGAATTGTGATTCCAAAAGTCAACATTTGTAAGGCATGGAAGCCTCTTACTTGTTAAATCCTGCTTTTTAAATTACAGGGGGAAATCATCTGCCTTGTTTCTTAGCTGCCCTGGAAGAACTGCTGTTGGAACATGAGCATTTTAGAAGATGGTAATTGCTCCTGCATACAGAATACATCTTCTGAGATCTGTGTCTTGCAGAAGAATGCAAGAAAGTATAATGGGCATTTTACTGATACCTGCAAAGGAACTGAGATCTGCTTTTGTCAGGAGGAATAATTTTTTTCAGACGATTGCTCACATAGAGATGAATTCCAGCAGGATCCCACATTCAATGAGCCCATGTCAGATCTTTGTGGAAGGCCCAACCAGGGCTGTAGTGGAATGGTTCCTGTAAATTTGAATAGGATCAACTCAAAGGGCTTTTTAGATCTTATTTTCTTTCTTCTTACTTTTTTTTCTTTTTCCCTTAGGATGCCAGGGATGACTGACTGAGACAATCTGAGACAACTGAGATTGTCCTGAGACAATCAGGGACTAACACTGACACTGAAGAGTGACCAAACAGTAGCTCTTCCCACACTTGTCCCAAGAAGGTTTATTTTTATAGCTATGAAATATTTTGGTCTTGATCTCACGCATGTTCACAGCACATCTGGCATGCAAATTTATCAGTTTCAGATGATAATCTGGGTCTAGCAGTTGAAGTGCAGCTTCTTAAACTGCCTATGGGCTCATGCCTAGGACAGGTTTCAAGCAGCCACTACAAGGGAGGGAGGAAGGGGGAAAAAAAAAGATCCTAACAGTGAGAGAGGAAGCTGGAGGAGCCAAGCCCTGGTGGTGGAGGTGGGGAAGCTGAAGGAGAAGAGATCCACAGGCTGGCAGAGGAGCAGCCCGAGGCTGGAGCCCTCCTTTGGCTCGCTGCTGAAAGCAGAAAGAGCCAGTGCTGTCCAATATCCCTGATCCAGAAGGTGTTGCCATAGTAATGTGCTGGAGGAAGCCTGATATGCAGATTGGAGATGTGCAGTAGGATGTAATCTATCAATGGTGAGCCATGAAAACAAACTGAAAATCCAGCCTGGCCTCTGGCTGGGAATGCACACAGGCTGCTGTGGTCGTGTTTGTGTGAGCCTGTGCCCTGGCAGCACAGGAGGGATGGGAAATGGACCCAGCCTTGGAGAACTCGCTGCTCTTGCCTCAGCAGCACAGGAACAGCCCCAGTTTTCACTGCTGTCCCCTCCCTTGGGCTCTGTGCCACCAGCCCAGTATCCCCAGCCCACTTCTCCCCCCTGTTTCACTGAGGGTTTACCTTTGAAGAGCTGTGATGTCCCTCCTTGACATGGAGAATTTTTATTGCACCCTTTATCCCAATCAACTCCTCCATTTTTCACAGGCTTTCTCACTTTTTCTAAATTCATTTTTCCTACTGATTGACTCCCTCCTTCCTCTCCAACTAATCTTGTTTCATTTTTTTTCCTTCACTGTGAGGAAGACATTGCCAAAACGTCACCTCTAATCTTGTTTCCCATTTCTAGCATGTAATTTATTAATCCTCTCTATCACTTTTTTCCCTTTTATTGAGCAGTCTACATGCTAATACAGCTCAAGTTTTATTTTCAGATTGTCAAATAAATAATTTCCCAAGTCTTAAGAGTAGAGGAAAAAATAAGAGCTTTGTAATAATGATCAACCCTGTCTTTTGCCGAGGCATTTGCTTTTAGATCTATACAAATCATCTTATTCAGGGATAATATAGCTGTCCCATATCAGATAAATTAATTATTGGATAGGGTATCTAAGAAGCTAAGGTGACAATACAGCCTTTGTCTGATTGATAAAGACCAACTACATAGAACCTTCACATTAATATAACTCTGGTCTCGTAAATATAATATTCCTCACCCCATTCCTTAACTCTGTGTTGTTGGGTGGCTTTTTCATTTTTCCTTTTTCTTACTTTGATTTCAGTAAGAGTTTTCCTTGGCATCTTGCATTGGTACACTGATAGCCTGTTTTTTGGCTCTTGTGAACACTTGAACTGGATCTCTAAGTCAGAAGGAAAGAGAACTGTCAGTCCTTTTCTTAGCAGAGATAAATGACCATTAAACACAAGCACAGTTTGGTCTTGCTGTCAGGCCTGCTTTACACTGCAATATTATATTTACTGATAGATTTTTTTCCATTGCTGTGTTCAATGGGAAAAGGATCTTTACTTCCCAATTTACCCACTGTGCTGTCCTCTCAGAGCCTAAGACGTTGTGGGTGCCTGTCTCATTTTGTGGCTGTGTCAGGGGATTTCAGTCTTTAAATGGGAGGTGCTGATTTGGCTGCAGGGCTGGGCACAGGGGCAGCATCACCCCTGACCTGCTGCCAAGACTTTTCCCCATGCCCCAGGGCACCCTTGGGCTCCTTGGCCCCAGGACACTCTGCTGGCTCAGGGACAGCTCCGTGTCCCCCAGGACACCCCCAGGACACTCTGCTGGCTCAGGGACAGCTCCGTGTCCCCCAGGGCACCCCCAGGACACTCTGCTGGCTCAGGGACAGCTCTGTGTCCCCCAGGACACCCCCAGGTCATTCCCCCCAGAGCTGCTCCAGCAGGTCCCCCCAGCCTGAGCTGGTGCTGGACTTGTTCCTGCCCAGGAGCAGCACCTGCATTTGCCTTGGTTGATTTTCAGATGTTTTTTCCCTCCCTCCAAGACTGTTGAGGCCCCTCTGAAGGGCTGCACAGCACCACAGAGATCAAGGACTGTGCAGCAGATGAACTCAGACCTTGTTCAAATCAGATATTGTTTATATCTTTGTGTGACAACAGGGTGCTTTCTTACATTGCACCACAAATAAAATAATTTAGTCAAATATTTGATGTAATTTTCAATAAAGAATTGTCTAATTTTGCATGCTAAACCCACCACACTCATAGGTTCATGCTAAGATATTCTAAGCATTGCCCATCCCTAAATCTGGTTCCTTGCCTGTGAGCACAGTTTTCACCTCCCAAGACAGGTATCATGAATGAAGCCACAATGGCCAGGAAAGGCCTGCTCAGGAGCTTGGCTGGGGTCTCTGTGCTAGCCTTGGGTGTACTGAGGAGTCAGGCAGGGAGAAGTGCAGCTCTGTGCTCTGAGAGGGCTCTCCCCTTGTGCCCTCAGATTATCAGGGCTAAACCCTGCCATGGAGTTGGGCACTCAGTCAGGATTAGGTGCTTTTGTGTCCAGGTTGTGTAAATTTTCATGGAATAAATGGGCTTTAAAAGAAAATGCTGTAAATGTGACTCCATCACTGAGACAATTAGGCAGCACATTTAGTTCTGTTACTGTCCAGATTTTGCAGAAGTATTAATATCATTGATGAGCCGTCCTGTAATTTAGTACCTTTGAGACTGTAAAGATTTTTTCTTGCTTCCTGATGAATTCTGTAGACACTGAAATTCTTTGAGTGAGGGCAGAGCAGGGATGTCACTGTACAGCTACAGAGCCTGTCTCCATCTGTTGTACCCTCTTCATCCCCATTTCTGCTTCAGGACACATGCAAAGACAATCCATATCCTTCAGTGCTGAATATCTGGGGTTTTGCTCTTGTTTAACCCTGTTAGCAGTTTATGTTTCCTGATGTGTCCCACTTCATGGGTTTCACTGGACAGTGAGTCCCAGGAGGAACCTTGAACATCAGTGGATTGGCCTGATCCAGAAGAACCAGCCTGGCTAATCTCTTGTCATCCAGCCTCGAGTATTTATTGTTTTGGAGATAAATTTCCAGGATTAAGATTAAGATTAGAGGGACATTAGGGGTAGGTCACCTACCAGGTTGTCTGAAACAGCATGTATAGCATGTTTTGGAGCAGGACTTCACCTCAAGCTGGTTAAAATAGAATAACATATTCCCATTATTTAATTTACATAAGCTATAAAGGTTATTATTTAAAAATAATGGAGGGAGCAAATGTGAGCTACCCTTTCCCTTACTCAAGTTAGTGCTCTGCTCACTAAAACCAGTCACTCACTTGTGTTCCTTCCACTGATTCAGTGACCAGGAAAGTACAGAATGAACCAATTGTGACAGGAGCCACAGAGGTGCACTTTGGTGCTCAGTCAGCACTCAGGAGAGGAGCAGGGGAAGCAGGGGAAGCTTCATGTTTTGTGTACAACCTGTTTGTGGCAGTCAAGGTCACTGAATGATGCCTCCCTTGGTTGTGCATGTGACAGATGAAATACCCAACCTATACTTCCCAGCTCACACAGTTTTGTGCCTATTGCTTCATGTGTGCAATATTTGGGCAAACTTTCTCAAAAAGAATCTGTTAAGGGCTTGGTGAAAATCTAAATGATTTAGAGCTTTCTGATGAATGCAGGGTTTAGTTTACAATTGTGTGCCTAAAATGCCAAGGTCTCTTTGTAGCTCTGCTGTAGGTGCCTAACAAGGTACAGTTCAGGCCACATTTCACTCCAGTTTCCAAGTGGCAGTGCCAGTTCACTCCCAAGGCAGGTGGACCTGTCAGGTGTTTGTCATTCCAGTGGGCTGGAAGCCTGAGTGCCCTGCTCAGAGCTCAGCTTGCACTAGACAGCAGGGCACTCAGGGATTCAGCACTAATTATTGAAGTCTTTGTGCCTGCCCAAAGTCATTTGTGTTTTTCATCCCACATGTGGGTAGAGATGCTGTGTGAAATTTGCAGACTCAACAGATTCTGCAGTAATTCGTGCTGGAGTATGACA